CTGCTAGAGCTCTTCTCTTAACCTCGATGGCTGGCATTAACTCCTCTGAATGGGCTTCGAACCAGTCAGCCATCTTTTTGGTCTTCTTGCCAAAGGTGGATAAGGCGGTGTTATAGACAGTGTTCTTGAAGTGTTCCCATCGTTCAGGTGCATTTGCATTAGCCGGACCTGGAAGGGCTTCCTCAAGTGCTTGGGTAAATTCCTTCACTTTTCTTTCATCGCAAGTCTTGCTGATGTCAATACGTGGTCTTCCTTCCTTTTTCGTGTGATATACTCTCTTTGTTCGCAGTTTTACTCTACTACACACCAGGGAGTGATCAGTATCACAATCAGCACTCTGGTAACTGCGTGTGATCGTAATACTAGGAAGGCTGGAACGTCTAGTGAGGATTAGATCGAGCTGATGCCAATGCTTTGATCTTGGATGTCTCCAGGAAACTCTGTGTTGCAGCTTCGTGTTAAAGAATGTGTTGCTGACACAAAGACCATAATAGCAGCAAAACTCCAGCAAGCGCTGGCCATTTTCATTCATCTTTCCGATGCCAAAACGGCCTAGACAAGTGGGCCAGGAGTTGTGATCAGCCCCTTAGGCATCCACATAAAGCACCATTTTCCTCCTAGTGACCTAAAACTGATGCTCTGCTGTCCTCAGACATTTTCAGGGAAAGGAGGAGAATATGCAAGACCAGCTGGAGAATATTAATCTCTTTCCTTCGGAGCCAAATTCTGATTCAGCTTGGTTGCCTATGCCAAAATCCTCCTGAGGAGATTAGGGAAAAGGTGGCATTTTCAAACTAAGTCTGATGTCATGCAAGCAGACTCAGCACAGACACGTGCCATGAATTTTTGGAACTCTTTATCTACAATTTTTCTGCAAAGGGGTGCTGTCCAGCCTGAAGAAATTGGATATTCTCCATGAAAGCTTGCAATTTGTTTGATATTTAGTGGTTCAATAAAAGTATCACTCTACTGATACTTGTGCTGATGAGATTACAGTACTTGCCTTTCGGCATGAAGGGACTGGGTAAAAGCCATGATGGGCCATTTATCACAAAAAATAGATGAAAAAAACACACTGGGATTTCTTGTGCAAATAAGCTTGTGGACAATATTTTATAACCAGAAATTTTAAAATGTAGTTCTTTCAGTAACCCTTTAATGGTAGAAGCCACCCACAACAGACATCATGGCCTTGAATCGCAAGAAATAAACAGGCCAAAGTAACCCAATGTTTCACCTGTCACCAGGTGGGAGTGATGAAATATGCCACAAAATATCCTTATTCCATATTCTTGGAACCACACTGAGGTACAGTATTTAAAAATCTACATTCTGATACCTTTGAATTAAAAAAAATCCATATTGGATTTGGCAGCTCTAAAGGCTGGGATTGCAGCCTCCATACATGAGAAAGCAACCAAACTCATCATTCACACGTGACTAACTGGAAATGATACAACTCTCTAGAATATACAGTTCCAGGCAAAATATATGTATTTTGGAAAAGAGCCCACAACAACAACTTCCTAGCAGGGTAAAGCAATCAGAATCACCAGTTACTGTACATGTAAATGAGTAGGAATATTTCATTTAGTAAAAACAAATTCCCAGAAACCACAACCCAATACCTGTTCTGGGGGAAAATTATTCTAGAAAAGGTAAAAGTGGCAACCTCTGAGTAGACCAAAGGAAGCAAATTCACCAGAGACATATGACTAGACAGGAATGATGCATCTAGCCACAGAAACTACATTCTAATATTCTCTAATAAAAAGCTTCAAAGGTTTTATGGGGATTTTTGCAGACCCTCTCCCCTGCTCCAGCAAATCTCTATCACAGGTAGCTCTCATTATTCGAGGAAGTGGGTTCTGATCCAAGAAAGCGTTCATGGAAATAAGATATATTCTTTAAAGTGCTGCAATATTTTGGGGTTTCAGCCACCCCCTCCTTTTCTTTTACCAACTGGGTACTCATCCATGTTATCAGACAGTTGATTGGATGGGTTTGAATTTCTCCCACCAGGAGACTGGCTTGGCTTCAGTCACATGACAGGAAGAGGAAAACGAGCCATGCGATGAAATTTTAAAAAGAAACACAAGAAAGATATTAATGAAGACGTTTCCAAAATATCACCCCGGTTCAAAGCACGACTTCTGGAAAGGGTGAAGAGGTCAAACGAGAGGCTTACTAGTGCAGGGTCGATTTGGAAAAGTAAGATCTGGCTACAAGAGGAGAAGAAAGAGTAGACCTATTTCCGGGGATGAAGAAAGCAATTGGAGAGGCTGGTGGATGGAAGGTGAGAGAGAGAAAGAGACTGATCTTCTCAAATGTGATTTTATTTATTTTTAAAACATCTGGGGGAGTCCACACCAAAACAGTGGTGGAAAACAGCAAAGCTGGTTTCCGGGGTTGCCCCTAAGAAGGTCATAAGAAGGTAGAAAAGCAGCAGGAGAAGAAAGAGTAGACCTATTTCCGGGGATGAAGAAAGCAATTGGAGAGGCTGGTGGATGGAAGGTGAGAGAGAGAAAGAGACTGATCTTCTCATAAATGTGATGTTATTTATTTTTAAAACATTATCTGAGGGAGTCCACACCAAAACAGTGGTGGAAAGCAGCAAAGCTGGTTTCCTGGGGTTGCCCCTGAGAAGGTCATAAGAAGGTAGAAAAGCAGCAGCCTTCTAAGTTGATAGTTTCTCCTCAGGTTCTTTTACTCGGATTTATAAAGTGATTCCATTTATCTATCATTGCTAATAAATATTACCTGTAATTATCTACTAAATTTTTTATCTAAATTATCTACTAAAATCTATCTTACTAATAATTATCAACTAAATTATTTTGTAAATTCCTGGAAAGAGAAGATGCCCTCATGTGGAACTTTAAAGACTATAAAATAGGAGTTATATGAAAAGGAAAAAAAAGTATATGGTATCTCATTTATTAAAAGTATTTTCCCCCAGAATATTCATAGTTTGCTTAATTCACAGATGGACAAAGAATGGCCTCTGGGCCACATGGAGCTCCAAGGTCCCAATTACAGCCCCCGTTAATTTTTTGTGGGGGAGAGGGAGTATTCAAAAAGAGCAATCTCTTTTCCACTAGCAGGTTGGGGCAGTGATTTTGCAAGGTTTTCCCCAGATTGTTTTGAGCTCAGGGGAAAACATTTTTCAGTACGAGAAAGGATTTCTGATCACTGATGGTTTTGAAGAGTTTTGAACCTGGACAGCTTAAAGAAAGGAAGAATGGAACAAATTGTTGTCTTGTGGCTGAGGTGACTTTTCTTTAAGTAGCAAAAACTGAAAATAATTTTGGATAGCTGGAGGAGTTGGGAGTGTGACCTGCCAAAGTGGCTCCTGCAGCCTTTGGACTCTTGGAAGCTGTCTTGTTTAGGTCACTGTAGCGATCACCCTGCTTTGGCTCATATATGAGGTTATTTGGATACACCAATGGGAGCTATTGAGAGATGGAGCCAGAGAAACCAGAAGGGAAGAATGAGAGGAGAGACAGAGTTTTGAGGGGAGGTAGTTTGTTTGGAGCCAGTGAAACCAGAAGGGAAGGATGAGTCAGATAAGACAGGAGAGACAGAGTTTTGAGGAGAGGTAGTTTGGGTCTGAGGTAGAGAGAGAATTTAAGGAGTGATTAGTCAGAGTGTTATCTGTATTAGTTAAGATAGAAAGGGTTGAAGGAAACTGCTGGAGCTTTGTGAAACTTTAAGAATGTGCTTAAGAATTATTCCTGAAACAACTTGCAATCAATAAACCTGTTCTTATTTCAACGTTAACTACTGAATGGTCCTCAGTCTCTCATAGGAAATATAGCTGGTAAAGAAATCAACTGGTGGCAACAAGGTAAAAGGCATGTTGGGATACCTTCGTGAGCTCTGCTACAGAATGGTCCTCAGTCTTTCATAGGAAATATAGTTGGTAAACAGATCAACTGGTGGCAGCAAGGTAAAGGGCATGTTGGGATACCTTCGTGAGCTCTGTGTTTGGTGAAACAAGCAGAGGCTATGGGGGAAATGTCACACTCACTTTTCTGAGAAACTTTCTCTCTCATACTTGAGACTCAGTCTTATCTGTGCTTCTCCTTTTTCCCAGCAGATAACTGAAAGGAAACAAAGGCATGCAGGAAAGTAAGCCCGAAAAACCCACAACAACTAAAAGCTCAAAAGATTTTCCACAGACAAATTAGTCTTTCCTGGCCAAATGCCAACCCATTAAAAAGAGGAAGATTATACTAAAGAGCAATATTGCATTTGTGAAACACTTTTCCTTAAAGATGGCATCTATATTACCAAAGGAGGTCACTCCTGGAAAGAAACATTTTGAATGTGAAGTGTGTGGAAAATGTTTTGCCCGCAATTCACACCTTTTGAGCCACCAGAGAGTCCATACAGGAGAGAAACCCTACAAATGCCAGGAATGTGGCAAATATTTTTCTCACAATTCAAACCTTGTAATCCACCAGAGAGTTCACACAGGAGAGAAACCCTACAAATGCCAAGAATGTGGAAAATATTTTGCTCACAATTCAAACCTTGTGATCCACCAGAGAGTCCATACAGGAGAGAAACCCTACAAATGCCAGGAATGTGGCACATGTTTTGCTTCAAATTCACATCTTCATGAGCATCAGAGAGTCCACACAGGAGAAAAACCATATGGATGTCAGGACTGTGGGAAACATTTTGCTCAGAAATCACAATTTGTGATTCACCAGAGAGTCCACACAGGAGAGAAGCCATATAAATGCCAGGAATGTGGGAAGTGTTTCGCCCAGAATTCAAACCTTTTGAGTCACCAGAGTTTCCATACAAGAGAAAAACCATACAAATGCCAGGAGTGCAGGAAATGCTTTGCTTCCAGTTCACAGCTTGTGATTCACCAGAGAGTCCACACAGGAGAGAAACCATACAAATGCCAGCAGTGTGGGAAATGCTTCGTTCAGAATTCATACCTAATGAAGCACCAGAAAGTCCACACAGAACAGAAGCCATACAAATGCCAAGAGTGTGGAAAAAGTTTTGTTCAGAATTCATATCTTATGATGCATCAGGCACTCCACACAGGAGAGAAACCATACAAATGTCAGGAGTGTGGGAAAGGGTTTGCTTGTAATTCACATCTTGTAAGCCATCAGCGAATCCACACAGGAGTGAAACCGTACAAATGTGAGGAGTGTGGGAAATGTTTTTTCAGGAAGTCAGAGCTTGTAAGACATCGGAGAGTCCACACAGGAGAGAAACCATTCAGATGCCAGGAGTGTGGGAAATATTTTGCACAGGATACATATCTTGTAACACACCACAGAGTTCACACAGGAAAGAAACCCTACAAATGTGAGGAATGTGGTGCATGTTTTGCTCAAAATTCTGCCTTACAGTATCATCAAAGAGTCCACACAGGAGAGAAACCATACAAATGTGAGGAATGTAATAAATGCTTTGCTTCCAGTTCACAGCTTCTGTCTCATCAGAAGGTCCACACAGAAGATAAACCTTATAAATGCCAGGAATGTGGTAAATGCTTTGTTTCCAGTTCACTTCTTGTGATTTACCAGAGAGTCCACACAGGCGAGAAGGCATACATATGCCAGGAGTGTGAGAAATGTTTTGCTTAGAATTCGACCGTTCTGCACCATCAGAGAGTCCACAGAGGAGAGAAACCACACAGTTGCCAGGATTGTGGAAACTGTTCGGTCAAAATTCACAACTCGTGAGGCATCAGAGAGTACACAAAGCAGAGAAATCCTGAAAAATCCCAGTTCTATAGATAATGGTTTGCTTAAATTTCAGATAGAGAGTCCCACGCAGCTGGACTTAATGAGGTCCAGCTGACTGTCCACTCAGGTGTCCAGTGGTAGTGGTAGCGGCTGCCTCGGTCATCTTTCAAATCACTCACAGAGGCCCATTCTCTTCCTGTTCAGCTAGCCACTTGGCAGCCATGCAGGGAGACTCATCCTCCATCCTCTTGCCTGGAGTGGCTAGCTGAGTGGGAAGAGACCAGTGCTCTGGGAGTGATTGGAAGGATGAGTGAGGCTGCCAGCGGATGCTTGAGTGGACGGTCCGGCCCCAGGGGCTAGACCCTCATTAAGTCCAACTGCCGAGGGATATTTGTATTTGTGTACGAATATGAATATCCCCATCTCTAATTTCAAACTACTAAAAGACAAGTCTATGGAAAATAAAAATACAAAAACATAAAACATAATCCACAGGCCAGTTAAAATTTAGGAGAATATGCATGCTGTCTTCTTTCTTTGTATTTCTGTACAGAACTTCCTCATCAGTCTCTGTGTTGTACCTAATGCCAGAACCAGATTCTAAGATATAACAGTCTTGCATTTTCTGAGACTTTGACTGACCATTTTTTCTCTCTCCCAAAATGCATAGCAAAGTGTCATCTCATATTTGCCAGGGATTCTTTAAGTTTACAGTCTCTCTCCTGGGTCTTCATAAACTGGAGATTAAACTAGTTGGCCAAAATTTGTGGAATTCTGTGCTTTCCCCCTCCCACCTAATTTTCAAACTGATGAACAGTTTAGTATGACTCAAATCCATTTATCGTCTCATGGAATTTTAGTCCACAGGTGGACGTTTACGAGACAGAAGCCTTTCAGATTCTTCATTTGTGGGAAACTGTTAACAGAGGAGACTCATTGGAGAGAACAACCCTGTCACTGTTTAGTATGTCAGGTATTTTCTTCACCACTCTGTTTTAATAAAATTCTGGAGATGCTACTCAGTAGAGAAACCTCATCCTTGCTTGGAAGATGCTTTGTTGACCAGTCAAAATAAACTTCCAAAAATCTGTCCCTGGAAGTTGAATGCACAGCGTTGGAAATGTTTTTTTTTCAGTGTGCAGTGTTTGATCATCATTGAAGTCCTTACAACTGTGAAGCCATGTAAGTGATAGGAACAGTAATGAAACGGCTGGGTCTACAATTCCCAGAGGGTTACCCAGTGTGTTGTAGTGAGCAGAGTTGTTCGGATTCCCACTCAGTCACAAATAAAATCACTGGAGGTGAACGAAACATTTCATTTATCTTAAAAGTCCTACTAGAGTTGCTATAAGTTGGTTCTGACTTGACAGCACAGAACAGCAACTGTTCCCAGAATCCTCTAGCCAGCATGGCCACCAAATGAGGAGTCCCCATTATTTAAAAAGTAGTAAAATATCCTCCAGGAGAATTTCTTTTTGAAACATTTGGGAATAAGCTGATTGAGAACCTCTGTTAAAACAGCCCTGATGGATTTGGTCAAGATCAAGATAATTTTGCACTTTGCTTCTAAGACTGACTGGACAGTTGCTTTGGGGAAACTCACATAGAAGGCAGGATGAAATATCTTTTTCCACTGTTTTACTCAAGCATTTGATCTTACTAGACATACACCAAGTGTAGATATTAAGGGTACCACGATGAACAGTAGCTTGTGTTTATTTAGTTTTCGTCTGGCTAGTTTGTTCGTTGTCTTGTTCCTATGTATTCTTAGGCAGGCAAGGATGACAGGTTTATTGTGTATGCAGAATTCTTGGTAGGGTGATGAACAATAAACTGAACTGAACTGAGCTACTTAATGAACATTGTCATGCATGCTATTTAACATATAATGCAAAAATCTAGAGAGGCTCCTAGAGGTTAGGGTTCCAATGCCATTTGTCTGCTGCTGACACCCAACTTTATATTTTCATTCTATGTAAGTCCCAGAAAGCTGTTCTGGTTCTAAACCAGATTGTATTTTCACTGGATAAATTCCTGTATGTTTTATCAATGTCTCTGTTTTTATCTGTATCTGTGTCTTGTGGATTGGGTTGAGTTCTAGTTGTGGGAGAACTGTGGATATTAAACTAACTTATCTAACAATCTGTATATAAGTAGCCTCATATGATGAATCTGTGCAAGATCCATCACCCTGCTTTTGATACTACAGTAGCCAGACAAATGCTTCTGATAGTCAAAAGCGGGGCAGAAAATGGCAGCCCAATTCCTGTCCATTCTTCTAAGTGTCTGATATTGCAAGTGCCCCTGGTGGAGGAGGTTCAGTTGAGTGAGCTGTTGGCAAAATATCCGCCTGCACTTCATGTTTCCCATTTAAACCGGAGAGCATCAACTGTGATGATGAAGACTGGAAACCGAACCCACTGTGGCGAGGCAAATTTATCAGTGCAAAATAATGAGGCTAGCAAAGGCAACTAACTATTCTGTTACCAACACCACTATTTCTGTTACAGATGGATGCTGTTGAAGGAGTTACATGGCAAATCCTTAGTTCTGTTAACCTCATTTAATAACCACAGATGGGGAGACTTTTGTATCCTGAAACTCATGCACTGCTTACAATTTCATGTTGGGACACCATCATTTCTAAATGTTTTTTTTTTAGAATGTTGTACATTTGATGACTGGGAGCTTGCTGCCAGATAAAATAAGCAATTCAAATATTTTTGTATGATATATTTAATGTATGGTAGCTTCAGGGAACATTTTTATTGAGATTTCAAAGTTATGGTGGTTCAGCAAAACTGTTTTGGATACAGCTCTGTGTCTCTTGAGAAAAATCTTTGGTATTGGTTCATGCTGAAGTCATACATTATATTCTTGTGGAGTGGGGACTAATTAGCTGAATAGACAATATGTAAATACCCACACATAATTATCTTTAGGAAGACAAACACCAGGCATTACAGGATGGTCCAAAGGGCTCCTTGCTGTACCTCTAGTTGTTCGCCCTTTCTTTCTTTCTTTCTTTCTTTCTTTCTTTCTTTCTTTCTTTCTTTCTTTCTTTCCCTTTTCCATGTTTGCTATTCACTGGATATAATAATCCCTCCCCACTCTTTTCATTGGCTTCCTCTCCTGTCTCCTTTTTACTATAGATGCATAATAACAAAACAAACAATACCCCGCAAATGAAGAAAACTAGTGGCAGTTGGGAGAGGCAGCTTTCCGAGCAGGCCCATTCATATGAATATCCAGTTTCTTTTTTAAAAATCTTATGCTTTGAAGTGACAGTGAAGGTAATCTTTTGGGTGATGCATGTTATAAACCAAGGAATAGGAAGCTAAGGGAGAGACCTCAACAAAATGTGTCCTGTGAGCAGGAAGGATGTTGTGCAGTGTCACCCTCCGTACTTACTGGAAGGTATCTTCATGGGCCTATGCTCTGCTGTGTCCTTCAGCCCAAATCCAGGTGGAGAAAGTAGAGTGTCTGGAAAAACACAAAGACCTTGTCTTGCTCTTGCATCACCTTAAGAAGCTCATAAACTCATGAGTATTTGTAGACATGTTTCCAGCTGTGTCAAAGTTGTATAGTGGCATGTTCGCACATATGTGCACCCCTACAGTCCACTGCATCTGTCTGTGCACGTTAGAACAATACATTTAGGATTGAGGAGCCAAACGCTGGACCATACGCTCCTTGCGCTAGCTGGATGTATCGGTTGAGGGATTCCCTGCTGCTTTGTTGCTTTTATCAGCACCTATATGTCTCTGCAACCGATCCCCAAAAGAGCAGCGCCATCCCCAGTTCCATATTCCTTTTCATCAAAGATATTTCTCTTTTTGTATTCTGAAAGGGCTTTCATGGCCGGGATCCAATGGTTATTGGAGGTTTTTCGAGCTTTTTTGCTGTGTTCAGGAGGTTTTCCTTCCTAACGTTTCACCAGTCTCTGTGGCCAGCATCTTCAGAAGACAGGAGTCACAACACAGGAGTTAGTCCACAGAACACAGACTGACTTCTAGCTCTTGTCCTCTGAAGATGCCGGCCACCGAGACTGGCGAAACGTCTGGAAGAAAAACCTCCAGAACATGGCCAAAAAGCCCAAAAAACCCACAACAACCATTTCTCTTTTTCTTTGTTGTTGTTTAGTCGTTAAGTCGTGTCCAACTCTTCGTGATCCCATGGACCAGAGCACGCCAGGCCCTCCTATCTTCCACTGCCTCCCGGAGTTGTGTCAAATTCACGTTGGTCGCTTCAATGACACTGTCCATCCATCTCATCCTCTGTTGTCCCCTTCTCCTCTTGCCTTCACATTTTCCCAACATTAGGGTCTTTTCCTTAAGGAACTTCTTATATGGGCCAGTTGCTGCCTGGTCCCTGAGCTATGGTTTGTGTGGCACTGCCATCAAGTTGGACCTGCAATCTTCTTAAGCCAGAGACCTGCCCTCTTATACTTCCAGAGCAGTGATGGCCTGGAACCAGAACTTGGCGACACCAGTACAGACCAGGAGGTCCAGGACTGCCCAGCATCAGGGCGTGAGGTTGTCTTGCTCTGGGAGGCGAGAAACAAGGAGAAGCAGCAGCGGCGGGGGGGGGATAGTTTTCTTTCCCTGCCTTCCAACGACGATCTTTTCCGGGTCTGATCGCGGACACCCACCTTTCTTCCCTCCCATCCAGGTGCTCAGGAATCGATTGGATGGGCTCG